TTATTTCTGTACTTCCGTTTCTAAATCTTGGAACTTGTGTAATTCCAGAACATATGCATTCTGTGTTACTTGGAACTGTAAAACAGTTTTTAAATACATGGTTGCAAAAAGATGGGCCTTGGAGTATAAAAAAATATTTAAATGAAATGAATAATTATTTACTACAAATTAAACCTCCAGATACATTTAATCGATTACCAAGAAGTCTTAATTTAATACACTTTTATAAAGCTTCAGAATATTACAATTGGCTTCTATATTATTCCGTTCCTACCTTAAAGAATTATTTGCCTACACAATATTTTCAACATTGGCTTTTGCTTGTTATGTCTATATTTATTTTACTAAAGCGCGATATAACGTTACTTGATATTGAAGATGCAGAATTTATGTTAAAAATGTTTGTGAAGCAAATTTCAGATCTTTATAATGATAGACAACTTACATATAATGTGCATCAGTTATTGCATCTTGGTATTTGCGTTAAACGTTGGGGTCCTTTATGGGCTACTTCAGCATTTCCATTTGAAAATTATAATGGAATAATAGCGAGTTTATCACACGCATCAAAGAATATAGGTCAAGAAATTATTAATAATTTATCTATACTTTACGGCGTGACTATTTTAAAGAATAAAATTATTCTTCATAAAGAAAAAAAATTCGTTGAGTGTTTAGATAAAAATATTTCAGATTTGCTATTGACAGAGCAAGATAAAAACTTCTTAAGTCAAGTATTGGCTGGGGATTTTCTTATTTATGGCAGAGCAAACATAAAAAATGAGACATTTACTTCTGAAATTTATTCTAGACACAATAAAACTAATAGTTATACAGTACAAATAACAAACAATTCTTTTGATTCTACAATATATGGCATGATAAGATTTTTTATAAAAGCTAATAATATTATGTACATTGTTTTGCGGAAATTTAAAATTATTCATACTAAAATATTCTATCATGAAGAATTACGGAAGCAAGTAAAGTATATATTGCCTGTAGAAATAGATGATCAATATCTCATATTAAAATTAATGGACATTAAAACCATTAATAAAGTTGTAAAAGTAGGTGATTATATTTGTAACACACCAAATTTAATAAATTCTATTATGTGAACAATAAAATATATGTGTACGCACGCATACATATGAAAATAAAATTACATTGTTCTACACTACAAATTTTTTACGTGAATTTATTATTTATTATTTCAATCAACCATTAAAATACAGATATATATATATATATATATATCATTATATCTAATTTGGCGCAATTATATATAAGTTTGTATATAATTTGATGTATCTCAACTGGAAAAAAAATTCTAATATAACTTTGCATAATTTGATATGGAGTTATAAATATTTTGATATAATTACATATAATTATTTACACGAAAAAAACTTTTAATATAACTTTACATAATTTGATATGGAGTTATAAATATTTTGATATAATTATATCTAATTATTTACTCAAGAAAAAGTTTTAATATAATATTGTATAATTCAATGTGGAGTTATGCATATCTTGATATAATTATATGTAATTATTTACTCAGAAAAGAATTGTAATATAATGTTGCATAATTTGATATGGAGTTATAAATATTTTGATATAATTGCATATAAATGAATACATAAATAGATCTTATTATATATGATTATATATGATTATATATAATATTATATAATTAGATAAAATTGTATATAAACATTTTTTCCCGGGTATGTGTTACGAAAGTTACATTTATAAATATCTGATAACTTATATAAATTATAATTATACAAAAATGTGAATGTCAAATTTTACAATTGATATTGATAGTAAATCATGCTCGTTAATCATGAAGTTTATATTTATTTGTACATATGTACACGCGCGATTTTGAATGACTAAATATCTACGTAACGAGACCTAGAAAATAATATCGAATATTGGGAACAGTGAAATTTTTGCGATATCATTACACAATATATCGCATAAAAATTAAATAATAACTAGCAAAAATAAACACAACAGAATCAGATATATTTTAATAAATTTTTACAAACAATATTGCTATAAACGTTTTCAAATATTAAAGATAATGTAATAGCATACATTAAATCTTAATATATACTCTGTAAAATTCAATTTTAAAAATAAATATAATAATATGTTTTAAATATTATTATAATTTATAAAGTATATAATATATTATGCTTTATAATTATATACATATTAGAAATACATATACTTGTTTACTAAAGCAAATAATACTTAAAATTAAAATTATTTGAGTGTACAATAAATACTATTTCCGAATGTTTAAAGTTTTCTCTTAAATCAAATTTTCTATTAAATCTTGATTAAGAATATGATTTCTGCGAATCCTCGGACAGCTGTAAAAAATGCGATTACCTTCAAAGCACGAGTGTATCATGGTTATCTACATGCAGGAGTTCATGTTGAAAATAAAATTTATAATAGATATTAAAATATATTTGAAGTAGTTCTCAATAAGATGTGAATAATATCTAAGCATAGATAATTTTTTAATAAATAATATATAATTTACTGAAATATTATGGTCGGAAATATTCGCGAAATCACTGGCAATACTTACTTACGCCTAAAATAAATAATACAAATTTAATCAAACTGAATGAACAAAAGTTTAACAAACTTAATAAACAAAAACTCTTTGGTAAAATATAAGCGTATCTCATAATACATTCATACGAAACTATGTAAATTCAAGGTGTCTCTTTAAGAGAGTTGAGATCTTTTTTATAGCTAGATGACTTTTTCGATACTATATATATATATATATATATATATATATATATATATATATATATAT